TCCATCCCAGGGCCTGGGTGCGGTACCTTTGACTCTAGAGTTGACTTTGACTCTTGAATTTCCTGTGTGCAGTGTGTAGTCACACAGCCACACTCAACAGACTCAGGTCTGGGCGTGTCTTGGTCACACAGCCCAGCGCAGACCTTCTCAGGTCTGCGTGGCCTGGGGCTGAGTTCTGGGCCCCAGGCTATTTCTGAACAGGGTTATTACATTCCTGCCGACCCATTTTCGAGTTCCACTGAAGAAATATTTATGACTTTAACCCTCGTTCATAAGCAGCGACAATATCAGGAGTAATTTCAAGTAGTTCTTGTTTGCTAAACCACCCGTCCTCAGATGGTGCTTGCGTTTTAAAACGTACCTTGAACTGCTTCTGAGGTCGTCCACGTCCTCCCGTAGAGAAGTAACCATGCTCTATGATCCGGTCAACCTCGTATCGGCCATCCATATCGGGTGGAATCATAGAGGGTCGGTTTGGAAATTCATTTCCTTCTACGTAAGGCAACAATTTGGACGGATGAAAAATAGGATATGTTTTGAGATGAGGGGGAATATCAAATCGATAAGACGGTCCCTCTGCATCTCCAATTACTTTGAGAAACTCCCAGGGTCCAAAATAGACAGGCAGGAGTTTCTGAGACACATCTTCTTCTAGTGAGAACTCTTTAGACTTGACCCAAACTAAATTACCTACCTTGAATGTCGATGGTTGGCGATGCTTATTAGCTTGGTGTATCATTTGTTCTTGAGCTTTCTTTAAGTTGTCTTTCACTTTCTTAATGTCTTCTTGAAACAATACTGCATATTCACGAGTCCCTGGCGGTAACCTGAGAAATTGGTCCCGTGTTAATACATCAATGGGGCGCCTCGATTTCCACCCCTTATGGAGTGCATTAGGTGTACGTCCAGTTGCAATATGAACAGTGCTATTATATGCACTCGCTATTTTGGGTAAGTTCTCATCCCAATCGATTTGATCAGGTCTTACATACATACGCAAGAGTTGTTCGCACAAGCGGTTCATTTGCTCACTTTGCCCATTCGTTTCAGGGTGTCTTCCTGACGACATGGTCAAACTAGTACTGTATGCCTCCATCAGCTTTTGTCATGGCATACTTGTGAATCTCGAATCTCGATCAGACACAATAGATAAGGGAAACCCATATTCAGTCACCCATCGCATCTGAAATTTCTGAATCACAAGTCCAGTCCGTGCTTCAGCAGGTAAGGGAACAAACATAGCATACTTAGAGAAACGGTCAACAATAACCATCACTTGACTATTGCCATTGCGACTCTTTGTGAGACTCATGAAGTCCATTGAGATAGACTCGCCTCGTTCACTTGGAATCGGCAATGGTCTCAGTAGACCAAGAGGGTTCTCGTGTGAAGGTTTGTTTCTCTGGCACACCAGAGAGGTACGAACGTAGGTTAGTACATCTTCCTTCAGTCCCTTCCACTCGAAGCGTTCTCTGACCTCAGCGTAAGTTTTCTTGAACCCAAAGCGTCCCTCAAAGTCGTGACGTTCTCCAATCACCAGACTTTTAATCTCTTCTTTGTGAGGGATACAAAGTCTTTGTTCAGTTTGGTCAATCAAGAAAAGCAACCCATCGGCTATTTGTAGTTGGGAGGTAGAGATGGATCTTTGACAATAGTGTCAAGGGTAGGCTTCCAGATAGGATCACTAGCATACCCTTGGCGAATCTTTTCTTTCAAATCACTCCCAATATCCAAATAAGAGACAATAGTTCCGAAGAAGTCACTTCGCCTGGACAATTCATCTGCAACCACGTTAGACTTTCCTTTGGTTGTTTTCAGTTCAAAATCAAAGGTATCAAGAAAAGCAGACTATCGTACCAGTTTGTCAGAGAGTTTAGGCTGTGTCTTTATCCACTGCAGAGTAGAGTGGTCAGAGTACACAGTGAAGTGCCTCCCTAACAAATAGTGCTTCTAGGTTTTCAGAGCACAAACTAAGGCATACAATTCTCTTTCATATGTGGAGTTGACAACTTTTTCATTAGACAATCGTGCAGACATAAATTCGACTGGTCTGTAACCTTTGTCATCGTCCTGATGAAGCACTGCGCCAATTTCATACTGACTTGCGTAAGTTGTAACAGTAAAGGGAAAAGATGGGTCAACAATTTTCAGAACAGGATAGTGGGTCAATGCATACTTTAGTTTCTTAAATGCAGACTTACAGTCCTTATCCCACAACCATATGAATCCTTTCCTTAGCAATTTTCTCATTGGGCGGCGATCAGTGAGAAGTTCCTAACAAACTTCCTATAGTAACTTGCCAAACCAAGAAAAGAGCGTAATTCGGTGATAGACTTAGGTTGTGGCCAATCTCTAATTGCTGATATCTTCTTTTCCTCAGGCCTTAGACCATCTTCGTTCACTATATGCCCTAAGTATAGGACTTCCGACTTAGCGAACTCATATTTCTTCAGGTTCAGTTTGAAGTTACCTTCTCACAACTTCCCCAATACAAGACGTAGGTGTTTCTCATGATTTTCTGACGTTTTGCTATACACTAGAATATCATCAAGATATACTATGATGAACTGATCCAACCATTGACGAAATAACTCATTCATAGACCTTTGAAAGGTTGCTGGGGCATTCGTCAGTCCGAAAGGCATTACCACAAACTCGTAGTGACCATACCTTGTTCGGAAAGCAGTCTTGTGTTGATCTGCGGGATCCACCTCGATCTGGTGGTACCCAGACTTCAGATCAATCTTGCTAAAGTACTTACAACCCTGCAAGTGGTCCAACAAATCGTCAATGCGCGATAGATGTTCGACATTTTTAACAGTGACAGAGTTCAGCCTTCTATAATCAATGCAAAGACGTAACTCACCTTCCTTTTTGGGCACAAACAAAACAGGGGCGCCGTAAGGAGAAGAGCTAGGGCGAATCCATCCTTTCTCAGTTAGGTCCTAGAGTTGTTTTCTCAATTCCTCAAGTTCCCTAGAAGACATTCTATAGATAGGTCCCTTGGGTGTCTTACTACCAGGAATGATCTCAATAGTGTGCTTAATGGCACGCTGAGTGGTTCCAGTCGGTTCCATTGATAAGTCTTTATACTCAGCTAGGATTTTTTCAATCGAGGGTGGATAGGAAGTAGAGGTCTCGCCAACTTGCTTCACTAGGACTTTCATGACTTCTTGTTCCAGTTTCTTCTTTGTAACCATCGAACGAAAGACTGGGTAACTCATACAGCAGAAGGACAGACTAGAGTCAGAGTCAGACTTGTGATACAACTTGATGGTTTTTAGTTCTGATTGTGCATCCCGCAATTGCACAACCTTATCCTTGAATTTAATATATGGGTTGGCCTCCTCGTGCCAATCCAGACCCAGAATCATCTCAAAAGGTAAGTTCTTTTCAACAAGAAAAGAAATTTCGTGCACAATCTTATTTCCGTCCCTCGTATGGAAACGACACTTTACATGATCAACATATTGGGAGACAGTGATCGTGCTTTTGTCTGCCAGGATAAACATGATAGGTCGAGACAAATTCTTTACCTTTATTCCGAGATGCAATTTGCGGATTGCCTTCTCGGATATGTAGGATCGTGTAGATCCTTGTCTAGTAGTGCACCTGCACGTACGTGTGCGATTTCTATATCCGCGAGTAACAACTCACCCTTAGACTTAGATTTCTTACCCCGTGAGGTTCGTAATGCTAGCAACTCGTTACCAAGCTCGTCCCGGGAGTCGTCCAGAGAGACAGAACATGAGACAGGTTCAGGGTGTTTTGGACGATGGGCTGGAGAATAACCATCCTCTGCCATGTGAGTCGAAGGGTTGAAAGGGTTAGTAGGCGCCTTACCTTTCTTATCATCGAAACGCTTCAACTCAGTAGGAGCAGATGCTACTCCTACTGGCGGCTCGCTTTTGGGTTCCGGATTAAAGGGCACCATGCAATCACATGCCCCGCAGTCCCGCATTTTAGGCATTGCGCGTTGTCCATCCGGTCTTGCCAAGTCTTTTGGTCAATATCCATCTTTTCCCAGGCCTTTCCGGCCGCAATGCCGGGATGCTCCGGGAATGAGCGTGGTCTCCTCCTTACTCCTAATCGTGGTCCTCCCTTTTTGACCATGGCGGCAGTGACATCCCCCTTTCCGGAATCACTGCCGCTTGCCACACCCTCGGCCTCCAATGACCACTTCTCCATAGTATCGTCGTCAAAGACGACGAGGGTGTGGTCCTGATGGTTTTGGCACCAGAGTACTCGCTTACCTGCTTCTGCACCTACACCACCACCATATTTCACCACAGATGCATAGGTGTTCTTTACCTGAGAAGTCATTTGCTCTCGCTAGAGAGCCAAATCCTGAAATTGCCTATAGTTATACTTACCTGACTTTGACTCAGCCACGAGCTGATCACGCACAGGCTCGGGCAGAGCACGGGAGTATATGTACAATACCTGGTTGTCTTGCAAGTTCAGTCCTGGAACTTGCAGCAACCGGTCAACCTCCCTGGATAAAGCTTCCACCGAGATCCAATGTTTTTGTCCAATGGTCGTGAGCTGGTCGAAGGCCTTGTCAACCGTCGTCATGTCAAGGAAACGTTCCTTAATCTTTCCAAGGAACCGTTTCAGAGTCAGTGTCCTAGCCCACTCCCCAATATCATCGAACTCGGCTGCATTGGCTTCGGCCAAAACCCATTCCTTAGCCTTCCCCCCTAGACAAGAAGTAGAGAAGGCTACATGAGACTCAGGCTCAATAGGGGCCGTGCCACAGTAGGTCTGTATCTCAGCAATCCACAATAACAAATTTTCATCCTTTTTATTGCAGAATGTAAAAGGCAATTTCATTTTGACTTTATCCTTCTTCTTCGGTTTCTCAGGTTGTGCAGGGCCCTCTTTCTTTCCATTCGGGGACCCCGGCGGCGGACTCGGCGGATCCGAAGGTTCCCCTTTCTTCCCTTCGGTTTTCTTTTCTTTCTTCCTGTCGGTTTCCACTCTTAGATGTTCTATGGCATCTCCCATCAGGTTCTTCGGTTTCTCTTCTTGTTTTTTCTCATCTTCCTTGTTTTTTCCTTTGACCAGGTTAGTGATAGTCTGTAGGCTTGCAGTAAGCTCATCAAGCCGCAAACCATGCTGGTCAAGTCTCATTTCAATGTGAGCACGATAGCTTATAAGCTGGTTCAGAGAAACAGCCTGTTCTTCCCCTTCAGTCACTACAACATTTTGTCTGATTTCATCTACTTTCTGTTCTTGCTGTTTCTTTGTTTCTTTTTCTCTTATTATTTCCTCTTTTCGGTTCTTCTCTCTCTCAAGTGCTTCCTCAAGTTGACGAATATTCTCATCCACGGTTTCCTCAGTCACCGGCACTTCTTTCTTTTCTCTTCCATTAGCAATCTCATTAAACTGGTCCATGATATACTTATCAAGTGCCTGACGACACTTGATGAGTACCTCCTGAACTTGCAGGACATCGGTGTCAGTCTCAGCTGCCTCGATGGCAGCATGTGCTGCCTCAAGGTTGTACAATGCCCGGACATGGGCTTCTGCCTAAGCACTGGCCTCATGAAGTTCAGTGATCAATATGTTCAAGCGGGCGGTTAGTACTTTCTTCCGCTCTTCCACTTGTCATCTGGTTCGAACGTCAGGCAGTTCTTCGGAAGTCTGAGAAGTGTTTTCTGGTTGAGACATTTTGTCAATGTACGTTTGCTGAAAAGTAGAAAATTAATAATAACAAATTTTACAGCAGCACGGTTCTAATACAACAAGATTTAAAGGAGAAGAATAAGTTCAAGTCAGTACTAATGCTGTGCTTTTCTGGATCTGTGTGATGACGTCCTATTCAGATTTCTATAGGTACCACTTCAGGCCGTGTGATCAGATACACACACAAGTGAGTACGCACAACACCACAACAAGCAACGCAAGGTAAGTATACCAACATCAATCAACAACAATGTGTTAGCATTCTTCCTCTTCCCTGCGTCAATTCTCGTGCCAATGCGTTATAACACTCCAATTAACAGTTGGCACTACAGCTGTATAAACACCATTCAATCAGCTGTACCGCCGTTGTCGTCGGCATGTAATCTCTCACTCAAACAACTTCTTGCCTGCCACTTGTCATTTCCAGCATACCAACATCGCAAACTGCCATGTCAGCGGTGTCCAATCAATAGATGCTGGGATGCCATGTCAGCAATGTGTTTTCCTGTCCTTCCCACGTGCCTCATCCACGTGTCTTGTGATACCGTAATCAGACCAGCCAATCGAACAATGCCACGTCAGCACAAGGATGCCACATTAGCAGGTTATCACCACATCAACGGTAGGTGCAACAGCACTCTCCTGCCATGTCAGCAATAGCTTCTCCAAGTGCCACGTCAGCTCCTGCTCAGGATCTGGTCGCTCGTGAGTGACAAACGCAACAATGATTGCCACGTCAGCAATCAAATCCTGGGACGTGGCACATCTCATGCCACGTCAGTAGACAGGCTGGTATCCCAACTGCCACGTCAGCACGTGCGTTGGGATTGATATCTGTGCCAGCAATAATCTTCTCGCCAGCAATCTTCGTCTTCTTCTTCAACAGCAGATCTTCGTCATCAGCATCTTGGTACGTGTGCAGTCTTCAATGGAGGTGAGTTCCCTGTCTAGACACCCGCGCGATTATAATCGCGATTGAGCACTCCCTCTTACTTACCTGGCGCCACCCGGCGCTTGCACACGTACGTCGTCGTTGTCGTTGTCACAGTCAGAAGTGTAGCTCCGATACCAAATCGCAATGAACCCAAGTTATCAATACGAATGTTGACAATATAAGTACAGATTATCGAGCCGCTGATAGTTCCAATAATCAAAGAGTATCCAGAAGGACAGAGAGGTGAGATAATCATACACAGACGAAGAGGAAGGATGGAGGAAAGACAAGGGAGAGGAAGTCACAATGCCCACTCCTTCTCCGGGCTCCTTCCTTAATCGCCACCTCACAGTAACCAGTAATCTGAGCACATATTGAAGTCCTGTCACAATGTGCCATGTTGCACCTTATCAGACCATAATCAGCGTTGGAGCCTTGTCATCATGAAGAATCCAGGTACGTATCACAACCTCCTCACAGTCCCGATCTCCTCCTCAAGTGATGATACAAGAGCCTTGATCTCTCCTTGAAGTGATGACGCAAAAAGAACAGCGATACCGGTCCCTTGGACCTGGCGGTATCACACGTGGCAGCAGCCACGTGAGCAGCAATGCGTGGCAACTGCCAGGTCAGCAAGCCTGGAAGACAGTATGTACCCAGTCCGCGTACCAGCCAGCAGCGCCTTGCCGCTATCTCATCAATGCCGGCCTTATGCCAGCACTCGTCCAGTGTCGCAGCGTCAAGCTAACACCGCGGAGTCACGCGTTGAAGCAGCGTCAACGCAAGACAGCCAGAATGACCGTCAAAGCCAGGAAGTCAACTCTTATGTAGTGTTGATGCGGGGTCTGGACCCCGACTGCTCTATCCCTCGGCCGTCCAGATCTCAATATGAATGAGGGATCAGATTGGCTTGAAATCGAATTCCGTCCGGTTTGGATGATGTTTGTGTACCTGCGCACAACAAGTGAGTGTATCCATCCCAGGGCCTGGGTGCGGTACCTTTGACTCTAGAGTTGACTTTGACTCTTGAATTTCCTGTGTGCAGTGTGTAGTCACACAGCCACACTCGACAGACTCAGGTCTGGGCGTGTCTTGGTCACACAGCCCAGCGCCGACCTTCTCAGGTCTGCGTGGCCTGGGCTTGAGTTCTGGGCCCCGGGCTACTTCTGAACACGGTTATTACACATGTGCCTGACTGAACTGCTAGAAAAAACGAGCCCGAGTTTCAGACTGCTAAACACAGTTTCAAATGCAATTGAAACTCGGGCCCTCACGAAACTGCTAAAACGCGGACTGAGAAGAGAACTTAGAGAAGAGACCGCAGGCTCCACCCACATGTGCACTACTTTCTCACGATTAGACTGACTTCACATGCTCATACGGTGACTCTGAACTGTATAACTACAATTCAAATGTGCTTTATAGGGACGCTGGACCCGATTTCCAGCAGGTGTTGCTCCCCACCAATAGATGGAGCCATCCCAGAACTGCTAGTGCTGCCTGATCATATCAGCATCCCTAGCAGTCGCCCCGGCTGTTTGTAAATAAAAATAATAATAAAATAAAAAATAAAAAACAAGCAGCAATCTCAGTGTTACATGATGGAAAAAAAAAAAAAAAAACTGTAGCCCTGACTGCGCCGTAGTTTTCTCTTCGTTTTTTATTATGCCTTTTTCAAAATGCATGGTACCAAATTTTTTTTTTTGCCTTTTTCAAAAGACAAATCATGGCCGTGTATCTTTCCATGTTCTAGCGGCAAATTGTTCCAACACGCAGAAGAAAAAAAAAATTACCCTTCGAGACGAGGTTCGTACAACGCAGTCGTACTTACCTCACCGCATAACGCCGCAAAACGCAAGCATAAGCGCACACAACGTGCAAGCGTCGTCGGCCCTGCGGAGAAACTCGACATGCAAGCCTCGAACCCACCGCTGAAGGCTTGCTCAATCGATGCGCAAGCCTTTGGTGCCACACTCTTTTATAGTGTGGTGGCACCGGTGGCCAGTGCGCAACAGTGGTAGCC